CACTGGCAAATTGGATAAAAATTCAAGACCCATAGGTATGCTGTATTAAGGAAACCCATCTCATGTGGAAGGACACACATAGGCTCGAAACAAAGGGATAGAGGAAGATTTACCAAGCAAATGGAGAGCAAAAAAAAAAGCAGGAGTTGCAATCCCAGTCTCTGATAAAATGTACTTTAAACCAACAAAGGTCAAAAGAGACAAAGAAGGGCATTACATAATAGTAAAAGGATCAATGCAACAAGAAGAGTTAATGATCCTAAATATATATGCACCCAATAAAGGAGCACCCAGATACATAAAGCAAGTTCTTCACAACCTACAAAGAGACTTAGATTCCCACACAATAATAGTGGGAGACTTTAACACTCCACTGTCAATATTAGACGGATCAACAAGATAGAAAATTAACAAGGATATCCAGGAGCTGGACCAAGCAAACCTAATAGACATTTACAGAACTCTCTGCCCCAAATCCACAGAATATACATTCTTCTCAGCACCACATCACACCTACTCTAAAATTGATCACATGATTAGAAGTAAATGACTCCTCAGCAAATGCAAAAGAATGGAAATCATAATAAACAGTCTCTCAAACCATAGTGCAATCAAATTAGATTAAGAAACTAACTCAGAACCTCAAAACTTCATGGAGACTGAACAACTGTCTCCAGAATGTTGACTGGATAAACAATACAATGAAGGCAGAAATAAAGATGTTCTTTGAAATCAATGAGAAAGAAGACACAATGTACCAGAATCTCTGAGACACATTTAAATCAGGGTCTAGAGGGAAATTTACAGCAATAAATGCCCACATGAGAAGCAAGGAAAGATCTAAAATTGACACCCTATCATCAAAATTGAAAGAGCTAGAGGAACAAGATAAAAAAAGAAACTCAAAAGCTAGCAGAAGACAAGAAATAACTAAGAACAGAGCAGAACTGAAGGAGACACAGACACAAAAAACCCTTCAAAAAATCAATAAATCCTGGAGCTGGTTTTTTGGAAAGATCAACATAATAGACCACTAGCCAGACCAATAGTGAAAAGAGAGAACTGAAGAGATGCAATAAAAAAGGATAAAGGAGATATCACCATCAATTTCCCATCAGAGATTACTACAAACAACTCTATGCTCATAAACCAGTAAACCAGGAAGAAATTGATAAATTCCTGGACACTTGCACTCTCCCGGGATAAAACCACAAAGAAGTTGAAACCCTGAATAGACCAACAACAAGGGCTGAAGTTGAGGCAGCAATTAATAGCCTACCAAAAAAGTCCAGGTCCAGATGGGTTTAAAGCCAAATTCTACCAAACGTACAAAGAGGAGCTGGTACTATTTTTTCTGAAACTATTCCAAAAAATACAAAAAGAGGGAATCCTCTCTAACTCATTTTATGAGACCAACATCATCTTGATACCAAAACCTGGCAGAGACACAAATAAAAAAGAAAACTTCACACCGATATCCATAATGAACATCAATGCAAAAATCTTCAATAAAAACCTGGCAAACTGAATGCAACAGCGCATCAAAAAGCTTAATCATCATGAGCAAGTAGGCTGCTTCCTGGGGATGCAAGGTTGGTTCAACATACACAAGTTGATAAACATAATCAACCGCTTAAACAGAACCAAAGACAAAAACCACATGATTATATCAATAGATGCAGAGAAGGCCTTTGACAAAATTCAACAGCCCTTTATGATAAAAGCCCTCAATAAACTAGGTATCAATGGAGTGTATCTCAAAATAATAAAAGCTATTTATGACAAACCCACAGCCAGTATCATACTTAACGGGCAAAAACTGGAAGCATTCCCTTTGAAAACTGGCACTAGGCAAGGCACAAGTGCCCTCTCTCACTACTCCTATTCAATACAGTATTGGAAGTTCTAGCCAGAGCAATCAGACAAGAAAAAGAAATAAAGTTATTCAATTAGGAAAAGAGGAAGTCAAATTGTCTTTATTTGCAGATGACATAATTGTATATTTAGAAGACCCATTGTCTCAGCCCAAAATCTTCTTAAACTGATAAGCAACTTCAACAGTCTCAGGATAAAAAATCAGTGTGCAGAAATCACAAGCATTCCTATACACCAATAACAGACAAAGAGAGCCAAATCATGAGTGAACTCCCATTTACAATTGCTACAAAGAGAATAAAATACCTAGGAATACAACTATCAAAGGATGTAAAGGACCTCTTCAAGGAGAACTACAAACCACTGCTCAAGGAAATAAGAGAGGACAGAAACAGTTGAAAAAACATTCCAAGCTCATGGTTAGGAAGAATCAATAGCATGAAAATGGCCATACTGCCCAAAGTAATTTATAGATTCAATGCTATCCCCATCAAGCTCCCAATGACCTTCTTCACAGAACTGGAAAAAAAACCACTTTAAACTTCATATGGAACCAAAAGAGAGCCCACTTAGCCAAGATAATCCTAAGCAAAAAGAACAAAACTGGAGGCATCACTCTACCTGACTCCAAACTATACTCCAAGGCTACAGTAATTAAAACAGCATGGTACTGGTACCAAAACAGAGATACAGACCAGCAGAACAGAACAGAAGCCTTGGAGGAAATGCCACACATCTACAACCATCTGATCTTTGACAAACCTCATGAAAACAAGCAATGGGGAAAGGATTTCCTGTTTAATAAATGGTGTTGGGAAAACTGGCTAGCCATGTGCAAGAAAGCAGAAACTGGACCCCTTCCTGATACCTTACACTAAAATTATCTCCAGATGGATTAAAGATTTAAACATAAGACCTAATATCATATAAACCCTAGAAGAAAACCTAGGTAATACCATTCAGGACATAGGCACAGGCAAGGACTTCATGACTAAAACACCAACAGCAATGGCAACAAAAGCCAAAATAGACAAATGGGATCTAATTAAACTTAAGAGTTTCTGCACAGCAAAGGAAACAATCATTAGAGTGAACCAGCAACTAACAGAATGGGAAAACATTTTTGCAATCTACAAATCTACAAAGAACTAAACAGATTTACAAGAAAACAAATAAACAAATGCATTCGAAAGTGGGGGAAGGACATGAACAGACACTTTTCAAAAGAAGACATATCTGAGGCCAAAAAACATATGAATGCTCATCATCACTGGTTATTAGAGAAATGCAAATCAAAATCACATTGAGATATCATCTCATACCAGTTAGAGTGACAATCATTAAAAAATCTGGAGACAACAGATACTGGAGTGGATGTGGAGAAATAGGAACACTTTTACAATGTTGGTGGGAGTGTAAATTAGTTCAACCATTGAGGAAGACAGTGTGGTGATTCCTCAAGGACCTAGAAATAGAAATTCCATTTGACCCAGCAATCTTATTACTAGGTATACCCAAAGGATTATAAATGGTTCAATTACAAAGACACATGCACATGTATGTTCATTGCAGCACTGTTTACAATAGCAAGGACCTGGAACCAAGCCAAATGCCCATCAGTGATAGATTGGACAAAGAAAATGTGGGATAAATGCACCATGGAATACTATGCAGCCATAAAAAACAATGAGTTGGTCTCCTTTGTAGGGACATGGATGAATCTGGAAACCGTCATTCTTAGCAAACTGACACAGGAACAGAAAACCAAACACCATATGTTCTCACTCATAGGTGGGTGTTGAACAATGAGAACAAATGGGCACAGTGAGGGAAACATCACACCCTGGGGTCTGTTGGGGGATGGGGGGTTAGGGGAGGGACAGTGGGGGGTGGGGAGGTTGGGGAGGGATAACACTAGGAGAAATGCCTGGTGTAGGTAACGAGGGAATGGAGACGGCAAACCACCATGGCTTGTGTGTACCTACACAACAATCCTGCAAGATCTGCACATGTATCCCTGAACTTAAAGTACAAAAAAAAAAAAAAGAAATTAGCTGGGTGTGGTGGCTGTAGTCCCAGCACTCAGATGGTTGAAGAGGGAGGATTGCTTGAGCTTGGGAGGTGGAGCTTACACTGAGCTTAGAGCAACAGAGTGCACTAACAGCCTGGGCAACAGAGTGAGACCTTGTCTCAAATAATAATAATGATGATGATGATGATGATAATAATCTGTTCCAGATTCCGAGTGAAGTATGAAGGTATCCTCAATAGGACCAGCAGGCAGGCTTTCTTTCTTCCAATATCTAATTCCTATGCTTATGTAGGAACATAATTTTTCTAAGTACAGGCTTATGTTTGTGATTTGAATTAGGATGTGACTAAGTGAAGGATTAAAAGTTTTTTTTGCACGATGCTTCTCTTCTGAGAAGTATCCTTTCTAGAAATCCCATTTAACACTTCCTGTCAGTAACTAGTTAATTTTTCCTCTATATCTGACTTCCTCATGTAATCAGTTTCTATTGTACCCTAGTTGCTGATAGAAGCTTGACTGAGACAAAAATCTCTAGAATGTGTCTGTGTTCATGAACCCAAGCCATACCAAGCAAGTGCTGGGTGAAAGATGTAGGAAACCAAGATTTGTTGAGTACCTATTAAGTGCCAGGCATACATTAAATCATTATATATAAAACATTTTCATAATTTATGTAACATTCCTATGAGGGATTCTATCATTTCTATTTTACAGATAAGGAAAACTGAGGCTTGGTTAAGTTGTTTGACTAAGATAACCCTACTAATAGATGAGGGAGCCTGGTTTAAACACAAATGTGTTCAGTTATACTGCATCTTGCTGATTGTACTCACCTGTTAACATTCCTGCCAAAAGTTTAATAGTAGATCACTCTCAAGTTAGTAATTGATGTTCAATTATTTGGTGTTCAATTCTGCTTTTTTAAAGCAGAATTTATCTAGGCATTCAAACAGAGAGAATAAAATCCGTGAAGGCCCAAAAAGGGCCAGTGATGGTACCCAGAACTAAAAAGAGCTGTGTCGCTGAGGTTGCCAGTATCCTTTGGTGAATGCTCCTGCTACTTATGGAAACCACTGTTGCTGTTACCTTTCAGGAGGCTGAGAATTTGCACATTTGTTGAACCTGCAAGAACTTGGAAGCCCATAGTGCCCTTGATGCTCCTGGACTCCCTGCTGAGACTTCTGGATCCTATGGCTCTCTGTGACTACTGCTGGATCCAGAAACAGAAAATGGGAAAAAATAGCTTCTCTCTTCCTCTTGCCTTCTGGTCTTTCTCCAAGACCTGCCTTTGAAAAAATCTAACTGGAAGCCACCTAGTTAAGAAACTTGGGAACCTAGTTTGCGAATTTTTAGCACCTTGCAATATACAGAACATTAAAGGGCAGGAATTAAAGCTAAAAGTTACCTTTCCCAGGGAGTTGTATTGTAGTTATTTGTTTTGTTATGTTTTGTGACAAAGTCTTACTCTGTCACCCAGTCTGGAGTGCAGTGGTACAATCATGGCTCACTGCAGCCCTGACTTCCTGGGTTCAGGTGATCCTCTGGCTTCAGCCTCCTGAGTAGCTGGGACTACAGACGTGTGCCACCCAGGCTGACTAATTTTTAAAAAACTTTTTTGTAGAGACAGAGTCCCACTATGTTTCTCAGCCTGATCTTGAACTCCAGGGGATGAGGAGCATCCCCTCTTTTCATATAAACTGTTTTTTGAGTCAGTGTTCCAGGGATGGGTGACTGGGTCTCCATCTTTGACTTAAGCAGAAAATGGATTTGTTGGAAGGATATCGAGTAATTCATAGAGCTACAAGAATCCTGGAGACTCTAATTTAGGAAACAACAGGATCTGGTAATGAGGATGGAATAGGGACTCTGCAAGACACTCCTGCTCAGAGGAATCATACTATTTTTCATTTTTAAATATCTACAGAAGATTCAAGATTTAAAGGAAGAAAATGAATCAGTCAACCTTGGGAAGGCCTGCACCTTCACTAGGAGAGGTCATTTGGCAAAGTTAAATAGGGATCTGTCACCCAATGATACAGAAATTGTTCTTGGGCAGCAAACACATGAACAAAACCAGCTACTTCTGCAGTCCCTGTTGCCAGGTATTGTTCTCTAGTTTCCTCCCTCCACCATATATAATATAGCTCATTCTATATTCCTCTGGGATAATGGCTTCCATTCTTCCTTCCTGAGAATTGCAATCTTACTCTTGTCCCTAGCCTGGTGGCCTGGAGCTTGGTAACCCACTCCGGACAGGTCTTCTGAGCCTCAGACCTGGTATCTACATACTTGGTGAATCATCTAGTTACTTTAGCTTGAAACTTTTGAGAGTAATAATTAAGAGGAGGTTTTGCTTAAATTAAAAGAGAAGTTTTAATGAACTTTGAACTCTCTTCTTCAATCTGATGAATATTTCTTGGTACCCTCTGCATCCTGGACAGCTACCCAAGTGACCTTCTGTTACTCGCAATCTCTTCTGATTTCCATGAAAAGTGAATTAAAAGACTTGACATTATTTTCCCACTTGGTCTACATCTTTCTTTCCCTTCTTTCTTCCTCCCAAAGTCTGGCCCATTTCATTCTCCTGATGGATCTAAGCTTCATAATAAATATCACTGTGGCTCCCACTTATTGAGCACTTACTATGTTGAGCACCTACTATGTGCCTAGGGCTTTATACACAATGTTTTATTTAATCCAGACCAGAACCCCAAAAAGTTCTCATTACAAAGATAGGAGAATTAAGGCTCACATATCTAGTTAGTGATGAAGTTCATATTTGTGCCCAAGTCAGCCTGATTCCAAAACTTGCATTCATTTCATAGAAGTATGGGATCTCTATTACCTCCAGTATGGGTACAGGAGATGCAAGAGACGTCAGAGTCTCCTTGGACTTCTTTCCAGGTCTTTGTTTCAAAATAACACTTTAGACAAAACAAGATGTAAAAATATACACAGAATGGAAATCCCCACCTTTATGATTGCTTTATTCTCAGCCTTTCAGGATTAACTTACTGACATGATTTGGCTGTGTTGCCATTGAAATTTCATCTTGAGTTGTAGTTCCTGTAATCCCCACATGTCATAGGAGAGAACTGATGGGAGGTAATTGAATCATGGGGGCGGGGTTTTCCCATGCTGTTTTTATGATAGTGAATAAGTGAATAAGACAGTTTATAAAGGACAGTTTTCCTGCACATGCTCTCTTGCCTGTCACGATGTAAGATATGCCTTTGCTCCTCCTTTGCCATCCACCATGGTTGTGAGGCCTCCCCGGAAGTGTGGAACTGTGAGTCTATTAAACCTTTTTCTTTCTTTCTTTCTTTCTTTCTTTCTTTCTTTCTTTCTTTCTTTCTTTCTTTCTTTCTTTCCTTCCTTCCTTCCTTCCTTCCTTCCTTCCTTCCTTCCTTCCTTCCTTCCTTCCTTCCTTCCTTCCTTCCCTCCCTCTCTCCCTCCCTTCCTCCCTCTTCCTTTCTTTTCTTCTTTCTTGCTTCCTTCCTTTCTTTTCTTTTTTTCTTTCTTTCTTTCAAGATGGAGTCTCATTCTGCCACCCAGGCTGTATAGTGGCTCAATCTCAGCTCTCTGAAACCTCCTCCTCCCGGGTTCAAGACATTCTCCTGCCTCAGCCTCCTGAGTAGCTGGGATTACAGGTGTGAGCCACTTTGCCCGGCTCCTAAACCTCTTTTTCTTTATAAATCACCATGCCTTGGGCAGCATGAAAATGAACTAATACACTTACAAATAGTGATTCCCACATTTTTAGCTAAAGCTTGCTAATGGAAAATTAAAATTTTCAAGAAATTAAAAGTTTCAAGAAAGTATTCTACAACTTTACTCAGAGGCATGATTTGGTTTGGTTTGGTTTAAAGGTAGTACCCTTTACTATTTAGGGTAACTAATATGTGAAGAATTAATCCTTTACAGTAAATATATAAAATTCATTATTTAAAGAAATATAGCATCTGCATGTATGATAACAGCTGCCTTCATTTAGACCTAGCTTTGTCTTTAGCCAGGAATCTAAATTAGCTCAAGATTCTTAACACAATCCTGAGAAATACACAGAGTTAGATAGGAAGGTTGTACACATTTACTGAGTATCTATAATGTTCCAAGCTCTGTCATGGGTACTTTAATTTTTCTGCATTTTCTCATTTAATATAGCAATATTATCAAGGTAAGTACTATTACTGCTATTCCTGTTTTCAGATAAAATAAAACTCAAAGAGTTGAAATCCTGACTCTAAGTTTTGGATCTCCATTATAACCTGCTGTCTCCATTTTATTCAGTAAGTTTAAGAAACGTTTTGAGAGAATCATAGAAAAATGTATCATTAGAAAATTATCTATAGAATCAAAAGAGGGCACGTTTAAGAAGAGACCATGGTGAGCCTCAGTTTCAGGCCATCTTTTCTTCTCATTCTATATATTCTTCCAGTGCCATTTTATCCATGCCAATATCTACACTTACCATTTATTAATAAATGATTTTCAAATCTATATCACAATTCAGACCTTGCCTCTAAATTACTTTTTACATATCCATCTGTTTTCTGAATATCTGCCTTGGATGACCCACAGGCTTCTCTGAAGTATCATGCTCCAGATGGAAGTATTTTCCTGCCACTCAGCTCCTGCTCCTTGTTTCATGGTCTAGTGAATGGCACCACCATCCATCCACTCCATTGTTCAAATCACCTATGCAGTTTCCTTGGCTTTTTATTTTCCCTCACTGTTCTCTATCCCACCCATTCCCCAATCTAATCAATGGCCAAATCCTGTCAACTCTATCATCCAAATATCTCTGGAATCTACATGCATCTTTCCATCAGGAACTAATCTGACCTTTCAGGTGTTAGTTCAGCTGGTTAAAAATGAGCCAAGGCAGGGTGTGGTGGTTCATGCCTGTAATCCCAGCACTTTAGGAGGCTGAGACGGGCAGATCACTTGAGGTCAGGAGTTCAAGACCAGCCTGCCCAACATGGTGAAACTCCATCTCTACTAAAAATACAAAAACTAGCTGAGCATGGTGGTGGGTGCCTGCAATCCAAGCTACTCAAGAAGGCTGAAGCAGAGAATTGCTCTAACCCGGGAGGCGGAGATTGCAGTGAGCAGAGATTGTGCCACTGCACTCCAGCCTGGGTGACAGAGTGAGACTCCACCTCAAAAAACAAAAAATGCCAGAACTGAAGTAGCAGTCAAACCTTGACTCCCCTTTGTTTCATTTCCCCCTATGGAACAGTGTGTTGGTAGAGTCAACTCATTGTTTAGGGATCTCCAACCAGAAGGCTCCTGTGGATTTATGGACCTTGGAGCCAGAAGTGAGGAACAGTGGGAGGGCTAGAAGTAGAAAATATCGAGTACTGAGTCAGAGTAGGGAAAGTGCCTTCAAGGTTCAGTGAAAAGGAGAGGACTTCTAAATGGAGACGCATGGGCCATGAATGCAGCTATATATAAGAGCACAACTGGCCAGGGGGCCTGGGTCTTTGACTGCAACTCTCTTCAGACACTGCAATGTATTGGCTCTGCACCAAGTCTGGTGTGGGAAGGGCAGCTTTTCCTATGAGGCCTTCCAGGTAAAGCCTTTGTAATTGCCTGTGGCTTTTATATAAAATAAAATATACATTTGTATTTTATTCCATATATATATTCTGTTTCTCTTAAGAACCCTGACTTATCTGACTAATATATTTTGCTAAATGGTTTCTGGGAAACCATAAGCTTTCTTAATATGAAAGGACAGTAGCATGTGGTACAGACATTATCCTACCTATTTTTCCTTCTTCTTGCTTTGAAGTGATGCCTGGAGCTAGAGCTGCAGCAACCATCTTGCAGCTATGAGGGAAAGGTCAAAGAAACTGTGGATATAAATGCCCTGATATCAGATATACCAACATCAGCAACTGCCTGCTTCTAGGCTTTTAGCTATGTGAGAAAAGTATCCCTCAATTTTTAAAGGTCATTTTTTTTATGTTATTTTGAATTAAAAACCTTCTTAACTGATAGAGTAGTGATCTCGAATGCTAGAAAAGTTTTCCAAAAAACTATTTACTAATAGACTTTCCTTGATGTATTATTGCATTCTAGATACATCATACTTTCAATGATTCATCTAGAGCAGAGTCACATGCTCACTCCTAAGCTAATTAGAAGTAAATGACCTTTTCATGATTGACTTAAACAAATCAAAACCCACAGTTCCAGAACAGGAAGTGGGATAAATACCATGAAGAATGGGATAATGCCTGGGAAAATCAGTTTTGATATTAGGAAGGGAGAAGGAAGCCAGTAGATGTTGAGTAGATAACCAAGAGTGTGTGCCACACTTACAAAGGAAAAAGAATCAGATTGGCATCAAACTTCCGGAATACATAATAAAATCTAAAAACCAATTAAGATATTTCCATAGGCTACCTCCAAAACTGAGCTGAAACCCAAAAATTCAGTGTCTAGCCTAGTCAGGATAAAAAAATATATATTTGCAGAAGCTCAGGAATTCAGAGAACATTAATCACATACTTCATGTGAGAAGAACATTACTAAACTACAAATGTTAGAACAGAGATTTCAAATTGAGAGAAGAGGAGCAGTAATAAGCAATACATTTGGCTCTATATGTAGAAAAATATAAGTGAATAGTGGCAGAGTTACCAAGAAATTATAATTTTAAATCTAAATAAGGATTTTTGAAACAAAAACTATGTATTTCAAGAAAAAATATAAATATCTTTGGGTCGTAGAGTATTAAATATTTCACTACTTGTATCTTAAAATATGATTTTTAAAACAAACTCTAGGATTATAGTAGTGGGTAGAAAACAGATTATGGGAAGTGAGAGCATTCCAAGAGTCTCATCTGAGAAGGAGATGGGAAAGTAAAACCATCTTAAAGGTTTCATTGGAGGGGAGGAATGAGGTGTGTGGAAATACTTGGCATTTTGCTCTCATACTAATCGAGATATGTTTTTCAGTATGAATGTCATAAAAAGGAAGGTGACCATTAGCAAAATGCAAAGGTGCATTGAGAATCCCATGTTCATAAGGGTGAAAGTGAAGAAGGAACTAGAAACTTGACCAAACTAGTAAAAACAAACAACAAATAAAACTGGTAGCAATAACAAGAAAGGCCAAAACAGCGCAAAAGTTGAAATAAATAAATATCAAGCATAAAATAAAATAGAAGGAATAAAGTCATGAATATCAATTGTTAGACTTAATGTGGATCTTCCATTAAAAACTAGCTTGGGTCAAAGAAACAAAATCGAGATACATGTTGCTTACAATTAACACTTAAAATGATAAAAAACAAATGATGGACAATAAAACACGAGGTAAATTCAAGCAAAAAAGAAAGCAGAAATGTCAATATTACTATTAGTTAAAATGGAATTTAAGATTAAAGTGACTGACCAGAGAAAAGTGCACTAAGTGATTTTAAAGGGGACAATTTACAAAGTAAATGTAATTCTCATAAATCTACATGCAGCACTGTAGCAAAAACTGTTACAAACAGAAGGAAAGCCTAATGGAGATACAATTGTCATGGGCTATTAATTCACTGTCTTCAGAATTAAACAGACTGAATAAACAAAAAATAACTAATATCAGAAGAATTTGATAATGTAAACCTGAAATAACCAAAAGGGTCAGTATCCCATTTTGAAGAGTTTATTCAGGAAAAAGTCTGGAAATGGATATTCCAGGATGCACAAATTCCAGAGAAATGGGTTCAGTGCTCTGACATTAAAAGCTAAGTTCTTGTTTATACAGGAAAAAGACAAAGAAATGTAAAGGAATTTTAACATTTTCTATACAAGCCTGGTTTTAGAGTTAAAACAAATTAATTAGTTACAGTTTGTTTTCTTTTCTGTGTAGCTAGTTTTCTTTCCTTTACAGCTGGTTTTCATTTCCTTTCAAACTTAAAAGAGTATATTTAACATTCCATCTTAAGACAATGTGATAACCATGAATTCTTTGTGTGAGGAAGGAAAGAGGGAGGTTAATTTATAATGGAAGTCAATAGTATAGAGGAAAGGGGGTCTTCCCTGGCATCCTTCAGCCATTTACAACATTTAACAAAACAAAGCAGGTAAGGGAAAAGCTTTCATCCATAACTAGAGGAAAAAAGGTTCTAGCTGCCTAGGATATAGCAGCCTGTGATGTGACTCAGGCCTCATAATTCACATTTTAAAAAAACTCACAATAGCTGGGCGCAGTGGCTCACGCCTGTAATCCCAGCACTTTGGGAGGCTGAGGCGGGTGGATCACGAGGTCAAGAGATCGAGACCA